CACATACATATACATGCATGTATATGTGCATATATCAGTATATTACTTTAATAATACATTACAAATATACAGTTTTTCACAAATAAGAAGATTTTTATAAAAATTTTTTTTTAAAAATAATGTGTATATATACATAATGTGTCGCGCATATATATAAATAAGATCCTTATGATTTTACCATATATATGCTGTTTCTAATCAAACGAAGTTATTCGTCTTTTCAGAAAAGAAGTTATAAAATATTGATATAATGAAATTCAATCTCAACAGCTTATTCCACAACACAAAAATATATAATTATATCAGTCTGTAATTCATTCAAAGTTTTAAAAACTGTTTCTATTATTTTTCCTGTGCTTTTTTTATACATTTCTTCAATTTAAATACTTTATACCAATATGTAAATTAATGCCTAACAATTATATCATGATGATCATTTTTCTAAAGGTATATTATGATCTAAATGGTCGCAATGAATGGGACATTGGTGATATGATACTGCACTTGCATGACCTGATCTTCCAGATGTCATTGGTACTCCCTGTTCCCACATATCTTTTGCAGGATCGTAAATTTCGACTATATTTAAAAAATGTTCACCATCATATCCTCCTAAAAATATTCAAGCAAATTTATTTAATAAAATTAATATTAAATACAAATAAAATTAGCTATGTAAAAATACTTTTTTATTTTTCTTACCCATAGCATATAACTTTCCATCTAGTACAGTAACACTAAGCGCACTTCGAGCAATAGTGACGTTACTAACATGTTCCCATATGTCTTTTTCTGTATCATATCTTTCTACAGAATTTAATTGTCTAGTTCCATCATATCCTCCCACCACATATATATATTGTCCAAGATTGGCTACTCCAGCTCCTGATCGACTACATTTCATAGATGAAACTATTGTCCATTCATCATTTTCAGGATGGTAACACTCTACGGAATTTAATCGGTTCGTTCCATCAAATCCACCAATGGCATAAAGTAATCTGTCATAATTTTAATTTATATACATAACATAATTTAATATGAAGTTTTAAATATTTAAATAATTTTCAAATTTTACCTATTAACTACAGCTACTCCAACTCCCAGTCTCTTGATATGCATTGGCTTTACATTAGTCCAAGAATCATGTTCTGGATCATAACATTCAACACTATTATGATATTCTACACCTGCACTACCTCCTACAGCATATAGCAACCCATCCATCACAGCTACTCCTACTCGATTTCTTGGAACAGACATTGGACTGCAAGCTCTCCATTGATCTGTGAGTGGATTGTATCTATCAACCCAATCACTATCATATCTGCAAATTTATTATAAATTCTTTAATTTTTTGTCTAGTTTTAATTTATATTTTTATATAAATAAAAATATATATAATCAATATTTATAAGAATCTTACCTACTATCTGGTGAATTATTTCTTCCACCAACAGCATAAAACATACCCTTTAAAAATGCTCCACCTAATCCAGATCTCGGAACAATTAATTTAGCATGTTGAGTCCAAGTTTTTTCATCTACATTATATCCTTCTAAAAGATCTAAAGAATGTTTCAAGAAACCACCAGCTATATATATTACTCTACGAGTATTAGGAGTTCTTTCTTTCACCACTGGTTTTTTATGAAGAGTCAAATCTTTAAAAATTTGTGCAAGATATTCTCTACATGCAGGTACTTTTTTCAAAACATCACAATTTTTCATTTGTTCTCTAAGAAAATTAGGAGTGAGATATTGACATCTCACTGCATGCAATATATGCTCCATTTTTGGTCCTCTAGCTTCTTCATTGTACTTAACCCATTTTAAAACTGCATTGTATACTTCTCTCTCTTCTTGTACATTTAATTCATCTTTTCTCACAAGTGCAATTAATTGCATTGCAGATAATTGTAGGAACTCTTCTTCCTGACATATTTGACTAAAATGTTGAACAATAAACTGATTCGCTTTCTGATATAAATTTTGACAACCATGCTGTTCAGCAAAATTAGCAATTCCAATAGCATTTGTCGGATCTAATTGTCTTTCCAAAAATACACAACACGCATCTATGACATTACTAACCTATTTGATAAATAATATCAAATAAATAAATATTATGATATATATTTTATTTTTTGTTAAAATGGTATTTAAATATTTGTATACCTGAAACATGGTGGCTGCTGATAAAAGGGAGCATACTGTAATTTCTGTAACTCTTATTTGACCAGTATACATGAAGTACATTAAGCGTGCCATAGTTGTTGGACTGACACCTTGAAGTTTTACCCTAGACATTTCAGATTCTTTCAAACCTCCAGTAAACATTGCCTAGAATATATATAATAATCCAATATCATTTTCTATTTGTTTTATTATTTTATATTTATTTATATATTCAAATTTTTTAAAAATGAATTACCTTAAAGTATGGACTAGCAGCAGCTAAAATGACTTTATGTGCATAGAACAATTCTGATTCTACTTCTAATATAACATCAGTGAGCATATGATGACTACGCATAATGAACATCATTTTCATAGCATCTTTAATATAATTAGCCATGTAAAAAGTCATGTCTCCAAGATCACCATGTTTTTCTGTAGAATCTAGACCTTCACTCTCTGTCATGAATGAAGGACTAGATCCAAGATTCTTGGAATGAAAGCTACCTTGAGCTTCTTTTTTCATATAACAGTCTTCTTCATCCATTAAAATAACCTATGAAAGAATTAAATTCATCAACAAAAAATAAATATAAATTTTATATAAATTCATAAATTATGAACAAAATATTATACTTACTGAAAAGATCGAAAAATCTTTGGTAGAAAGAATTACAAATTATGAAAGAAGTTAACAATTCTGATAATATTCTCGATATAAAATAAAATTAACAAAAAGAATTGAGAAAAGAAATGCAACTAAATAATCATAATTCAAAAATGCTATTTATCGGATAATTTAATAACAATACTTGATGACGCAGGTACGAGATGAATGACGAATATTAACTATTACAATGTTGATATTAGTTCCACCAAATTATCATTCGCACGTGTTGAAATCTTGTATTGACAATTATATCTTTGTCCAAAATGAACATCAATGTATCAATAATCATATACACAGCTTTCAATACTTATTGTATGCTTATTTTAACACATTGTTTAAGAACTGATAAGAACAACTTGTTTTCTATTGCTTTCAATGGACTTCTCAATGAAAAATATGCCTTATAGTATCTGTTTTCATAATTCGTATATTAATTTTTTACATGTGTGAATAGCAAAAATTCAAACGGCGAATAGTGAAGAAACGGTATAAAGAAATTGTTTGGGAAAAAATTAACAATAATATTTATATGTCACTATAATCGCTAACAGTTCAGTCTTGCCAAGATAATAAGGTAATAAGAAAGTAATGTCTAGATTGTCTAAGCATTGGGTGCTACACGGAACTATATACGAAACAAACACAAGCGAAAGTTCGGCCGTGAATTAATACTCGTGATTGTGATGTGATCATAGATGACGTGAATGACTTGCACTTATTTTACTTTGATGATCGAGCATTTAGCTACTCACTTCGGTTTCTACTTTTAAGACCATTTACGCACCTTTGATCCAATACGTCCGGTAATTTTTTTTTGGCTGGCATTTTGTTTCTTAGGAATCGTTTAATATGTTTTAAATATATTAGGTTATGTGTATGTATTTACAAATTATATTATTATCAATTTCACGAAATATACAATAAATTAATCACGAATAAAATAATTGATAAATTAAAAACATTTTTAAAAATAATATGTGAAAAATTATAAATATAATTATATTATATATTTGTATATTTTTTTTTTATAAATTAATTTAATATTATAATAGAAGAATTAAGAGATTGTAGATTAATGTTTAGGAATTGATAAGATTAAGAGAATCTCATCAAATTCTCATAATAAGAATGATTATTTTGAGACAATATATTTATTTCTTATTAATATGGAGTTTTCAACAATAACAGTATAATAGTAGGCGTAACAAGAGAGACGAGGTAGGTTACGAGGAACCTAACCTAATACCGTACGCCAACAAGTCACTGTCCACAAAATCTCTGTGATGTATTATAATTACTATGTATAATTTTCTAATCTTTTTTATAATTTTATAATATTTAGTCCGTTTCTTTAAAGTTATGCACATTACATTTAAATTATAATGTGCGTAACTTTATTGTAATAGAAATAGATTTTTAAATCCTGATATCTATTAAAAGAAATCTTTTTTAAAGTAATATTTAATTTTTGATAAGAATTTATATTTTACATTTCATTAAAAAGTTTTTATTCATATAAGCTAAATGAAAAATTGAGCCTTGAGATTTTTAACATTGTATTCTATGCATTCAAGAAATTTATTATTAGATTTTCACAACATACAAAGTTCCATTTTGTAGTGGTTATTGAAAAAATAAATTTCAAAGATAATAGGAACCTTGTTCTGTGAATTAAGATATTTTTATGCACAGAATTCAATGAAAATTTTTTATTTATTAATATTTTATATTTTATTATATTAGAAATGTTCTCATAATTATATTGATTAATATTTTGTTATAAATTTAAAGGAAAAAAAATTTTTTTTTTATTTGTAATATACCATCATAATTCGAACTTTGAAAACTTCGAATTTCGTTGAGAAATTTTCAAAATTTTTAAAAAACATTTAAAGAATATGTATGTTTTAAGACATTACAATCTAATATAATAGTAACATTTAACAAAATTTTTAAATTAATATAATAATATTTAAAATTATGGCAGTGTTCTATGATAATATGGAATAATTTTATTGCCATAAAATAGAAATAACATATTAAGGCTATTATGATATTAATTATTCTTAAGAATTGTAAAATTGTAAAAATTTATTTTAGATTTATCATTAAATAATTAATTATTATTTCTTCAAAGTTCGAATTTTTGAATGTTTCAATTTTAAAATTTATTATTTTATATTATAGAATTTATAGATGAAAGAGAACATTTCATGATATTAATTTAAGAAATGGAAAGAAAAGAGCATGAAAAATTTATAAATTTTCATATAATTTAACCAAAAAATAAAATATATTTTTCTTATATTAAATAGGCCGATTCAATTTTTTTATTATTATATGTAATAATTTTTAAATTGTAATAAAGATAGAGTTACAAATAATTTTTGCTCTGATCTTTCCACAAGATGTTCATGTTATATAGGTTCTTGTTGGCGCACAATGAAATAGGGGGCTCGACCTTTAATTCAGTGCAATAATGCCTCTTCAGGTATCTAGAGTAGAAGACACATATGTACAAGGACTTTCAGAAGACAGCTTTCTTTCTTTTTTCTCTTTTTTTTATACATATTGAAGCAAATGAATATATCATTTGGATATCAATTGAAAAAAATAAATATATCACTACTGAACCAAATTACTGGCGGAACCCACATATTAAAGAATTTTACAACTATTAATTAATTTAATAAGTCTATCTTTGATTTAGTTAGGCTTGGGTGACTCTAAACTGGCCCCCTATATTTGTATTTTGATTAATTCCTGAATTTGCTGTTGTAAGCAAGATAGCGCTTTTTTTTTCATTATTAATCCAATTAAAAAAATTTATAAAAATCAATTTTATCATTTTTAATATAATAATAATTTTCTTTCATCATCACATATGAGATACAAAAAATCTCAAAAATCTATTAGCTAAAAAATGATAATATATAAATGATAAATATTTAAACAATGAAACAAATGCAATTAGTTGGGACACTTTCATTCATAATGATTATTTGTTATCATACAACAGAATGAAGATTTAAATGTATGTAATTAATCATCAAGCAACTTTGTTAACTTATTAAATCTCTGACATATAGTTTGAATTTATTTAAATGTATTTTTGAATTTCAGGGATCTAACATGCATTCGTGAAAGTCTATTTCATTAAACTTTCAGGAATTTCAATTATAAGTGTCAGATACAATGCCTAACGAGAAACTATGAAACTAAATTGCTATCTTCTATGTATAATTTATAATTGTATAGCGAATTGCTCAGTAATACGATTAAATGCTATATTCATAAGTAAAGAATTGGGCGGATCGACTACTCCTAAGGCCTCGCTCATCAATTATTTTGAATTAATTTAGTCCCACACATTCATTCTAAAAGTCTAAGTTAGGATAGTTGGGATTAAATTGAAAGGACGTTAGTCTATTTTCAGTTTTTCTAGAAAATAAAAAAGAAGAAACAGAGAGTGCATATGTATGTGTATGTTCAATTCCGATGATCCAACGATGCATATGTGCAATTTCTGAATATGTTCAATAGTTAATAATAATAATAATAATAATAATAATAATAATAATAATAATAATAATAATAATAATAATAATAATAATAATAATAATAATAATAATAATAATAATAATAATAATAATAATAATAATAATAATAATAATAATAATAATAATAATAATAATAATAATAATAATAATAATAATAATAATAATAATAACAATAATGGGATGAAGAGTATTGTATAGTAAACGTATGATTTTTTTTCATTATCAATGAATGAAATTACAAATAGAATGATTAATGCGTGCATACGATCATCATTAAATGTTTGTTAATAGAATTTGATTCTATTTAATGACATACCAGCAATTCGTAAAAAAGATTTATCTGATTAAAATTTCATCCGCCTTTAAATATTAATTATTCATTCTTTTTTTTTTCTTCTGAATAAGATAATATTTTTAATAAGATTATGTATTTTTTTTCTTTTAGTAAATGGTCATTCTATGTCGAGAATTCTATGAGCGAGTCTCTCCCTCTCCATGAGAGAATTATTAAAAGGTATATGGCAGTATGCAAGTCAGTGAAATTTCATAAATCAATATTCCTTACTTTTCACTTAAGTCTATTCAACGTTAATTCTTCTTACTTTAATATTCATCATTCTTTTATACGAACATTTAAATCTTCATTATATTTCTTTTAAATAGCAAACTGAAAAAAGTTGATGAATCATCTACAAATGATTAAAATAAAGTTGAGAAATACGGCAGTGTACGATGTCTAATAATCGTATTATAATTTAAAGAGAGACTCGCTCAAACCGACAACATCTGTAGAGTTTAAAATGCCAACAAGAAAATATTTCAGTTACTCATTTAAGTCGCTACTTATTAGAGACAATCTACTAAAGTTTTATAGCACTTTTTTTCCGTTTTTTTTTTTAATCAACATACTCTATTATTAGTATTATCAATGTATGTAACAACATGAACAAATAAAGAGATTTCGTTTTTCTTTATGGGAGAATCTCTTTCTTGTGTTACATTTTAAATATTTCCGAAGACACTGTGTCTATGTATATATTTTTTCGTTTATATATATCTTTTTTTTGTTTTACTGTTTGTCTGATTTTTCCTCTACAAATTGACCTATAAATCTGATATTGCTTAAATCGATCAAAGCCCCTCAGAGGCAACGATTTTTGAAGCTTTTAAGACTCACTTTTGTAAGAATTTTCTCTTTCTCTCTCCCTTTTTTATTGAAATTAAGTGACATAGTCTGTTGTCTATCAAGGAGGATGCAAATCGCGATGATGGGCTCTAGCACTTAAAATTGCTTTCAATTCGGATTCTAATTGTTTTTTCGTTCGTTCGCTTACCGATCGGCCTCCCACTACCGGTTGAGCGGTAAGTCTTGGTGATGGTAAATCAGCCATCAACTTGCCAGTATCTCTGTTTTCATGACTTCTTGCTCTTCTTATAGGCTTCTTAATGGGTAAAGTATCATCCTGGATCTTCTCATGCGATGGCCGTTCTAGAGACAATGTCATTTCTTGATTTAATGTATAAGTGGAACCACTGGCCACCGCTTCTGAGGACCTGCTGATGTCTATCGTTCCTGAGCCCCATTCACGAGATAGCTTTCTCCCTATGGCCGAAGTTAATTCGTTATTCGGCGATAACAATGGACTCTTGGATATATGATAAGTAGAAGAATGTGGCGGTCTCAAGGTAGCGAACACTGGAAACGATTGTCCTCGTTTTGCTGGACTTCTGGCATATCTAGGTGTAGGTGCACCTCCTCCAGTCGATTCACCTTTGATCGTTGGTGTTGTACTACCGGTGGAATCGCTTTTTGTTGGAGCTAAAGGTCTTAATGTTGCACTACCTCCGAAATGAGAACCTAAACGTGGAGGTGGTGATCCACCATCTCCATGACTCAAACGACGACCCACCGTTTCAAGAGGACTTCTCGCTCTCAAATTGGTGCTACTTAAAGTAAACTCTCTAGGCTTCATAGGAGCCTCCAAACTGATAGGAGACAATCCTAATCTAGAGCTTGATAAATTAGTCGAACTTCTACTCTTCTCTGACCTCTTTGGACTTCGAGGCATTAAAGGACTCTTGCTTTTGCTTCTTTCTCTTCCCTTTATAAGTTTCTCTTCTTTCTTGATAGTGGATATCTTTTCCTGCTCTTCTGATACAGTTTCTATTTTTTCCTCTTGTTGAACTCTGTAAAATTAAAATGTTATTCTTGTTAAATTAAATCACCAAAGCATGAAATAATTTTTTAAATTCTTTAATTCACCTTCGAATTTCTTGGATCATCTCAAAAAACTGAGCTTTACTTTTGCGTCTTCGACGTTGTTCGTGTTCCTTCTGGAACATGGATACCTTGTAGATATATGAAAAATATTACAAATTTATTGAAACAAAAAGTTACTTACTCGTTTGACACTTTTTTGAAAAAGGGAGGCAATTTGTCCTTGTCGTACCGTGTGAACCAGTTCTCTGGCAGCATGGTGTGGCGACACCAGCTCTACGCAATTGATGAATCTGTATAGTTTCTGTGAGAAGAACATCACATTACGGCTGCGCCATATAGAATCCTCCGGTCTGTGTCTCAATCTGGGCAATGTATATTTGTAAAATAAGTGTTCCCCAGCTAAAATAATTGTACCGAGAACAACACCCATTCCTAGAAGACAGAATACGCCAGCTACAGAAGCAACACCTAATGGTCTGGGTTGTCCTCCTTGCTCATGTTCAAAACCGGTATCCATTCCTTCTCTTCCTCGAATGCAGGGTAAACCACCATACCTAGATATTTAGTTTTAATTTATTTAATCTTTTTTTATTTATACTTAAAATTATATAATTTTAATAAACTACCATTTTTCTTGCAGAATATCCAATAACCCGGTACTTGTATAATTAGCTATAACTCTGGATATACTTTCTTTCAAAGGATGGCCCTTGGTAAGGGCAACAGCATAAGTATCTTCATTTATAGTATCTCCAATTTTTTGCAATCGACAGCCATCATCTATCGCTCGATAGTAATCTAAAATAGGAGTGTCTGCTATAAGTATATCTAAACTACCATTTCTTAATCTCTCTACACCCTCAGCAACATTTGATAAAGAATATCTAGCCATGTGGGACCATAATTGTGCGTTTGCTTTCTGTACATAATATTCGGCTGCGGACGCTCTTGGTGCACCAACCTTCTGTAATAACAACTGCAACAGATATTATTAATTTTTATTATCATTTGAGATAATATATATTTATTCAATGTTGTTATGCAATAAAAATATGTTCTTACACTTTTATCGTGATAATTGCTTACTGCAGGATGGAAAAAAAGGCCCGCGATAAGGGCAGCTATGTTGGCTGTATAAGAGGCTACGAAGATAACCGAGAAACCACCCCAAATATTGATCAAAAATTTATTAGGCCAGGATTTCGGTGCCTTGAAGGCAACTAAATGTCCACAAAGGAGACCCCACATCACCCACAAGGCAGAGGCTATCGAAAAGTTCTTGCTTCGTTGTCTACCCCATGGGTTCAGACCGAACGGGCTGAACCACTCGTAAAGTGCCACTGCTGTGGCAGTAAAATTCAACGATGTAAAAACAGCGATCCACAGCTCTGGACTGAATGGAAATAGAAAAGCAAATAGCGATATTTCTGATTTGAGCTTTGGCGCAGTGAGAAAGCTGACTCCACTGAAGAAATATGGCGTAGTAAAATCAACTACTTCCGCTCTACGAGCAGACACACTGAGCGGTGCAAAGGCTAGTTGAGCTCGACTAGAAACTAATTCTCCCATAATCCCATTCCACGTGCTGCCATTTCTCTTTCCAAACAGACCATCTTTCACCAAATATAAGTCATATCGGAATCCTAATTCACGAGACACCAAGGACATCAAGTCCATGCTTAAACCGTAACAACACATCAGAATATTTTCTTGACGACAAAAAACTCCTCTCAAGCAGAGACCTTCCTGTAGATTTGTAACCATTGTAAATGGTGGTGCCAATGCTGTTACTATGCGATACATTGGCATCCCAATTTTTTCGCCTCCTTGTTCTAGATATGCTGGCACGATACCACCCCCTGGCCAAATTATGGTATCCAAATGAACTTCTTTTCCTCCTTTCACTGTGCCAACTTTGGTCCATCTATGGAAAAAGAATTGAAATATTTATGAATATTTATATTTAATTGAAAGAACGAATATTGTTTAAACATACCTCAATTGGGTTTTGTTTCCTGGAAATCTTATGGCTTGTAAGTTCAGCAAATGAAATTTAGCTTTATCCTTGGAAAGTTGACTTACAGAATTCCTCAACTTCTGAGTTAAAGTCTTTGAAACAGTGTGCCTCATTTTGCTTGTCAAAAATTTAGCATTATTTTTTGAGAAGCATTCTGGTATAAAGTTCTCTTCCATTTGAGCTTCATTTAAACGATTCAATCTAGGTTTTACTTCTATAAATGTTTCGTCCAATGCCTGAGAGGTTTCCCTGATCATTCTGGATAATATAGTATCACTACCCATTAATTTTATGCCAGATGGTCTTAATACTAGCATACCAACTGGCATAAAATCTTTGGAATTCAATTCCTTGTCCTTTATTCTAATATCTTCATCATCATCAAAATTAAAGCTTTTATCTTCTTGTTTATTCACAGACATTTCGTTCTGCCATCTATATTCTTGTAATCGATGTATATCATTCGATAAATTGGGCAAGGAATTTAAAGATAATTGATTTTCTGCTACGAGATTCATGTTTCGATTTATACTCTCTAGGGCTGAAGGATTTTCATTCGTTGCTATCGATGATCTTGAGCTATGTATAATATGAGAGCTGATAACATTTGGTTCGTTAGGTCTTAGTTCTGCTTTCAAGTCTAGCCAAAGCCACAAAAATCTTCCTG